TTTAGATATTATACTGGATTCTATAAAACCAAAAAAAAATTATGTATTATTGTCTTTTATTGTCTTTTATATTGGTTAAACAATCAATAATTAATGAGCATTTGTTTGACAGATATATTCAATAAAAAGCTTTTTCTAAATTATTTTCTATACCTATACCATTTTTATAACAATTTGCTAAATTATTCATTGCAACATTATTATTATTTTCTGCAGCTTTTTGATACCAATAAAAGGCTTTTTCTAAATTCTTTTCTGTACCTATACCATTTTCATAACATATTACTAAATTACACATTGCAATTGCATATCCATTTTCTGCAGCTTTTTGATACCAATAAAAGGCTTTTCTAAATTCTTTTTTGTTCCTTCACCATTTTCATAACAATTTGCTAAATTATTCATTGCAACATTAACATTATTTTCTGCAGCTTTTTGATACCAATAAAAGGCTTTTTCTAAATTCTTTTTTGTTCCTTTACCATTTTCATAACAAAATGCTAAATTATTCATTGCAACATTATTATTATTTTCTGCGGCTTTTTGATACCAATAAAAGGCTTTTTCTAAATTCTTTTCTGTTCCTTCACCATTTTCATAACAAATTGCTAAATTATTCATTGCATTATTATTATTATTTTCTGCAGCTTGTTGATACCAATAAAAGGCTTTTTCTAAATTCTTTTCTGTTCCTTCACCATTTTCATAACAAAGCGCTAAGTTATTCATTGCAAATTTATGACCATTTTCTGCAGCATTTTGAAACCAGTATAAAGCTTTTTCTAAATTTTCTTTGGTTCTTTCGTCTTGATAATATGAAATGCTGAGTTCATACTGCGCGCAAATAATTCCACTTTCCCCTGCTTTTAGTATCCAATAATCTGCTAAAATATTATTAACGTCAGTTCCAAATCCTTTTTTATAGCATTTACCTAAATATAATTGTGCAATAGGACAATTATCTGCTGTTTTTAAAAAATAATTAAATCCTTCACCATTATTTTCTTCTAAACCGAGTATATTGTAATAAGAAAAAATTCCAAGGAAAAAAGCATATTTTGATTCATATTGATTTTCTTTAAGCCAGTTAAATATATCAACGGTAGTTTGAGTAGTAGTAGCAATGCAATCATTAATAAATTGCTTCGTTTCTTTAAAATCTTCAACCTGTATTTTAATCAAAAGTATGAATAATTTATCTATTAAAATATTAATATTTTCTGTTGAATTAATCATTTCTGATTTTTATAGTTGAACAAAATAAAAGAGAAAATTTTAATTTTATTTGGAATATCGGTCTAAAATTCTTTCTTAAACAATTAACTTAGTTACACAATACTAAATGGGTAAAAAATATATATATATATATTATGCTAAAATCGGTCTAAAGTCCTTTCTTAAACAATTGATTTGGTTGCATAATACTAATTAGGTAAATAAAAAAATATTTATTTATTTACTCCGAAGTATCATGCAATGTACGACAGAATTTGCAATTTTCTTTGTAGGAATGCATAACTTGTGTCATGTTGATCAACATTGTATATGAGTGTGTTGACTAGAATTAAAATTAGTATTGTAGTCAGGATTAGGTGTGCCGGTATCCACCAATATTAGAAATTATATCGATATACAATAAATTTTCTAATTCAAGCCTTTTTGGAAATAATTAAATGCAATATTTTTTTGGCCACCGAAATTATTTTTCGATTATCTAATTAAGTAATATACGACTCTTAATGTAAGGTTATTTTTTAGGATGGTAATGGTCGGTCATGGTAAGGCCCTTGACCGGCCGACCGGTTGACCGGCTTATTAGAAATGTTGAATTGAGCACAATGTGATAAATTTAATCTTTTAATAACTAACCTTGTTCTCATATATATATTTGGTTTTAATTATTTTATTTAGACTTACTTCCCCATGCCAATTCCTTCTCATTAAATGTTTAACTTAATAATTTGTGACATTAATTAAAAATTAAGATTTATTTGGGTCATTTAGATCATTTGGATTCAAGAAAATCCTGGTTTGATCTCGCATAATCGCATAATCGTTTTTTTATTTTTTATTCGTTCTTTACAAATTTTTTTTAAATAAATAATTTGATTATATTAAGTTGTTTTCTCAGTTAATTATTTTGATAAGTTTTTTAAAAGCTGCATTTTAGACAGAATGGGTAATTTCCATTATTTTTTTTTGGCTGCGCCAGACAACCCAAAGGCAGTTTTCTGGTCATGCATACGAAATTTACATTACCAGTTGCTCTGTCAAATCCCGATTGCTTTGTTTCAAGCAAAGTTATGCCGAGGTTTCCTAAATTAATATTTTGACCAATCGATCCATTGACAAAATGGGATTAATTAAGGCCGTTTCCTTCAATGTATGACTCAGGTTTTTCAGTCTCAAATTTTTTTTTAGCAAATCAAATCATTCAATAAATCAATGAAGGGGGTGCGTGGGAACGGCCTAAATTTATTCAGAAGCACCCATTTATTTATCTATGTCACGGGTCATTTTACCTTTAAAATGACCAATGACTTATGACTGGTCATTTGAATTTTTGGTCATTGGCAGCAGCTTACAATATCCTGCATATTATTATTATCGATTTTAAAATGCGAGTTTATTTTTTCAGAGATTATGTCACTAGATCAATGAAAATTCATCTTACTTTATTACAGACAGTGTTAAAAATTCAAATTATTCTTATACGCGCAGAGCGCGCATTATTCATAAAAGTTTTTTTGCGCACGCTATAAAGTCGTATGCGCTATTATACAGTCAACCCTCTCTAAATGCACACACTATATATTTTCTCTCTAAATGCACGCTCTCGTTCAGTCCCAAGCATATAGAATTCATATAGAAATTTTCTCTTTAAATGCACAACCTCTTTAAATGCACATTTTTTAAAATTTTCACTATAGTGCCGAGGGGGTGCATTTAGAGAGGGTTGACTGTACATAAAAGTAAAATAATAGTCAGCGCCATTATGAAATACCGCGTTAATCATCTTTTAATCACATGCGCGGAAATTTAAAACGATGTACACTGCGCAAATTGCGCCGATCCAATTTTACAGATACTTTTTTTCAAAAAGTATGTGTGGCATTTGCCGCAGTAATTTGCAAAGTCTTACATTATTTCAAAAGTCACGAGACAGCCGATAATGACTGAGAACATTTATAAAGATTTAGAAGCCCCCGAACGTAACGATAATTCAAATTTGTATTATTCTTATAATTTTATCATATCGTTAGGAATAAAAACAAAAAATCATTTCAAATAAAATGTACTATATATAAATTAATTTATCGAGATTTAGAAAAACTCAACCAAATATTTTATATTATTGCATAAATGTATTGAAATCGAATGAGAAATAATCCGTAGTCACTATAAAATTTCGCAATTCAGTCAGGTTTAAAGTTGCACAATTTTTAGCTTAAAAAAATATTATTTCATCACCACCAGAAGCAGTTTCTTCGAAATTTGGACCCACGAAAAGGAATCTTTGGATCAGATTTAATAGCGTTAAAAACCTTTATATCTAGTTCTTGGAGTAAAATTTGTCATCGATTGCGTGCAGTGATGGCAAGTGACCCAAATCTCAAATGACTCAAATGACTGGTCATGTGTCATTTGGGTCATTTCAACATTAAATGACAAATGACCAGGTCATTTAGAAATTATATCACGTGATCTCAATAATTCTGGCCAAAATAATCATGTTTCGAATGTTTTCATAAATATTTCACGTGATATAAATTTGTAATTCTGGCCAGCATATAAAATTTGGCCTGTATTACATTTAAATGACCAAATGATAAATGACCTCAAATGACCAGGTCATTCGAAGGTCATTCAGAGGTCATTTCAAAATTGCCAAATGACCTGGTCATTTGCCATCACTGATTTCGTGTGTCCCACAAAAGTTTAAAATAAATTTTTATAAAGAAATTAAACTTTTATTTTTAATAAAAAGAAAAAAAAGTAAATTAAATTGTATGAATATACAGTAATTGCATTTATTTCAGCAATAAGGTTGGGTAGGATTGTGTTCAGCGAGAATTCTAAAAACGGGAATTTCAAATAGTATCATTTATAATATTTTTAAAAAAGCAGAATCTTCTTGATTTCCCCCTATTTTTACTAACCATCAGCAGAAATCCTGTAGTCGTTCAGAACCAATAGTCAAAGGTACTGGACCTAATCCTTCAATATTAACAGGATTTGGGTTCACCAGTTCCTTGTGGTGAAGGAGAAGAATAAACTAAGTTAACAAAGATTGCAATAATCAAAGCAAAAGTAAAAGATTTCATTTTTATTGTAGTTGAAACATAAAGGGTAAAAAGGAAAAACAGCTCATTTTCTTCGATTCTTTGGCCTTTTTTTTTTTTAAAAAAAAAAAATATTTTCGCACATCATACGCGTATGTCTGCTCTGACGTGTCTTTTCTGAAAGACTTGATTTTATCGATAAATTTAAAAAAAAAACTTAGCCTCAAAAATTTTAAAGTGATTTTAGACTAAGTGCCTGTTATTTTAATTGAAACATTAGCAAATCTCTTGTTAAATTATTTATCATCGTATTCCTTAAAATGAATGATCAAATGCATGGATATTGTTCGAGATGCGTGCATATTTTTATGATTTGGTTAAAAATTAAAAATTAATATTATGGTTTAGGCGTGAATTCATAAATTAGATTGAAGAATTAGTCATTTAGGAATAGGCGAAGTTAAACGAAAAATTTTAAAATGAATAACTATCACAAAAGTATACGTAAATTTATTTTAAAATAAAAATGAAAATAAGAATATAAATAAAAGACTGGCTAAGTGAAAAAAGAAACATATCACCATCAAATCTTATCTAGTCACTAATCTTCTTAAATTCGATCCTATTAGAAAGTTAGAGATTATTACACAATTGCAATCACACATGGTTTCGATTTTTTCATGCTTGGTGGTTAGAATTACGAACCAACATTTTTACAAGAAACAAAAAAAAAAGACATACTCTTGAATTATATTCTTTCCATCCACGTTTCAAAACGAAATCAATTTTAACGTTTTTGATACGAGTTGTAGGAAACTCCTTTTTATTAGTATTGAATAATGTTAGCGCAATGATGTCATCTATAGATAGACAATGGAGACTGTACTCATTAAATATTTCTTTTTAATTGACTCGACTACAATTTCGAAATTATTAATTAACAATCAAATTAAAATTTAAAAAAAAATTTTATATTACCAATATATTGTTTAATTAAGTTAAAAAATTTTGACAATTTTATAACAACAAGCGTTGAATATTGGTATTTTTTTTTTTTTCATCACTTAACAAAAGATTCTCGTTTTACATAATTAATACAAAAGATACAAAGGGTTTTCTTGTTATTTTTATTTGCTTTTTATTCATAGCGAAGTATTTCAAACCATGGAGTTTAACTTTTCCTTCTGCATTGTGCTCTTTGAAGAAATTTTTGCGCAATGATTATCATTCAAATCCCCTTTCATATTGTTGATCAAACGGACTGTGAAACTTTAATGGACACAATGGCGTGATAACTTTTATTTATTTATTTTCATAACAAACAAATAATATTTAAACAAATCTATGTGAAATACTACAAATAATGACCTTTAATTATAGCAATTAGATAGAATTGGTTCTTCAAATGAACCGATTGTACTTTTCGGAAATTTTACTGCGCCATAAGATCATAATCATCTGTATTTTTAACAAAACTTATGAATTTGATATTGATACCACAATTTTTTTTTAAAAGGATGATATTAAAGAATAATTTCTTTTAGAATTTTAATGGATCGGATTTTCGATAACGATAACGATTTCTAGTTCGTGATATATAAATCGTTATGTATTCCGCGAAAATATCAATGAAAGAATCGTTAAGATGACAATATAACACTTTGTTTTATCCCAAAAGTACAGAATATTTATTTTACGTAAAATATGGATTGGAATCGCTTCTACCAAATCAGAATGATACAATTAGTGCAAATTTCCCAAAATAATCTTTCCAACACTGTAAATATTAAAAGTTAATTTTTTTTTTTTAAAAAGAAAGAAAATTTTCTTATCTCGATCTTGACTTAAAACTTCTACTTTTCTTAAATTTCATTATTATTATCATATATTTATTTTTCCGCTAACTTTTTTAGATTATGCGATATATTTCTTGCATTATCTGAAATTGTTTTACTTATATCAAGATTTACCATTCTGCATGAAAATAAAATATAACTAAAATATAACTAAAAATATAAAAATAAAAATAAACTTAAAAAAAAAGAATTTACTTATTTTCTGAAATACTGAATAAAAAATTAAAAAATAAATACAAAAAAATAAAAAAAATAAATAAATAATCGAAAAAAAAGAAAGAAAAAGAAAAACCTACATTAAACAGCAGCCTTAATGTGATCAAAATCCTAAAAAATAAAAAGAAAAGAAAGGAATAAAACGACAGAAAATAAAAAAAAATAAAAACTATTTTAACCAATCACAATATGCCAATTTTTTTTTTTTTTTTTTACAAAAAAATGGTGTCTGAAATTGGAATTCAATTTCAGACACTTGATCATCTGAATCTGAATTCAACTTCAGACGAAAATCAATTTCAGTCACAATATTCATGTCTTAATGATGAACAAATTATTAATTTAATTCAAGATGAAGAAAATGAAAGTGAAAATGAGAGTAGTATCGGACAATGAAGGAATTGAAGCATTTTAAAACAATTATTAATTATTTTGAACAGCAAAATGATTCAGCGTATCTTTAGAAAATACTTGCGAATTATTAAAGCTAAAGTGTTTAATTCAAAACAGCACACTACACTTGATGGTTTTTTTGAGAGATATAATATTCATTTATTTTAGTAATTAGTATTTTTACTTAAAATAAAGGGATCATATCACATAAAAAAAGATTATTAATTTGGATTTATACGGAATTTTATATGGAATTCATTTTTGATAGTAAGCGAAATTAATTAGATCAATTTGAAAAATTATAGATTTGTTTTAGATTGATTTCATCTTTATTTACAAATTTTGTATTACAGATAATATTTTTTTGTTATGAGCATTTATAGATTAAAGATTTAATGAATTTTTATATTTTTTCATAAGTTAAAAAATAATTTATTTAGCTTAAATTTGAAATGTGATAACTGAGCTTTCCATTTCGCGATTTCACGTTGACACGTATTCTATAGAATTCACTTAGTAGAAATACCCGAGTTTTTGTAATACGAACTATATTTTTTAATAAAAAAATGTATTTTTACAGTATGATTTTTACATTGAAGAATAAAATTAGCATTCATTTACTTTCAATAAAATTTATTTTATAAATCAAAATTTTATATAGATGTGACTATAAGCACTCCCCTTTATAATCACACCATTTGATGATCCCAAAGGGTGTGATGATAGAGGGGACGACTGTACATCGGATAGTTGTTATATCTTGCGATCTGCTGTATTGATACGCAAACCGTATGCATTATTTAAACAGTAATCAATGCCCGTAACAAATTATTAGGTTTATCCATGACTTCAGGTTTATAATTATAACCTCCGAATTCACAATCGTTGTGATATATTAACTGATTAAAGTAATAATAACCAATACCAACACAAGCACCTCCAACAGGCTTCTGTTAAGCAACAATTATCAAGATGATTGATCTGCATAGTTGCAAACGCAACTGTTGCTTTGGAAATAAATTCTACAATTTTTATAATATCTGGAGTACCAAAGTTCTCTAATTCGACGCTCACATTCGCAAGTGCTGCAAGCCAATAAGATGAATGTGTATAAACATCACTTCCTCCATTAACCAAATCGGGTTAATTTTAGCAAGGCTTTGATATTAAAGTTCGTCTTAATGTGTGTTCCTTTGATGTCAATTGGTCTAAAAAAAAAAAAAAAAAAAATTGAGAATCATATGAAGATTTATTTTTTTTTAAATTACCATCCACTTGATAACAGTATATTCTTACCAGAAACTGAATCTACCACTTTGAGTAAATCCATTATCCGCTGTTGCAATTATCCTTCATTTTCAAAATTCAAATAAGTTCCCAGTACGATGTTTTGAGATCGAAAGAATAGAATATATGATCCGATACAGTTCATTTAAATAATTAAAATTTATAAAGTTCAAATAAAATAAAAAACAATTCCGATTATGAAAAATGTAAAGGAGATTGATTATATTAATTATATATGTACTGTATGTGATCTTAAATGTTGAATTTCAACGAATTTATTTATTTATTTTTTTTTTAAATAAAAAGGTAAATAAAAAAAAAATTATGATACCGAAATGGCTCAAAGTAATATACAGTATATAAGGCTTACCTGATTTTTCGACAAGGAAAAAAAGAAAACATTTCACTCATGAAGAAACGTTACTATACATTCTTTTACATCATCGGTGATGTCCCCTTTGGTCATGGATGTTCAAACTTTAAAGCTGTTAACAATGCTATATTTGGACGATCGTACCGCCTTTTCAGTTTTTTTTTTACTTTATTTTATTCTTATATTTTAATATTAAAATTATTAGACATAATAACATTTTAATTACTTTACTTTCATTACGAAAATTCTATGTCAGAATAAATTCATAATAATTTTAGTGACTAATTAATTATGATTTAAATTTAAATTCAAAAAAAAGCACAAAGAAATTAACAAAACATTAATGCTGCAGTAAAGGCTTTTTATACTTTATTTTTATTCTGATTATTGCTCCCTTTTTAAGGCATTTTTTCGAGTTCATAATAAAAGTTCAATTCAGGTATTTGCTATAATTCTATTTAAAAAATTATATATATATAAATTTAGACCTAATTATTATCTCAAAAAAATTTGATAGCGCTCTTTTATTTATTCTTCGTGTTTTTATAAGTTTGTTTTTTTTTATTTCCTTATTTGTTTTTTAGGACTATACATTCGTTATTTTCTCTTACAGGTTGGATCTCTTTCGCAATACTAGATAAGGCTTTATCTTATTTTTAATTCTTTTTGTCATTAACTGTTTCGATCACTTGAGGTATAACATTGAATGATTTATTATTTTACTTAGGATTTTGTATACTTTAGTTCCGCTTTCAGGTTTATTTTGATTACTTCATTTAAACAGTTTCTATTTTTTTTTTTAGGACTTTTACTTTAGGTTCCCTTTACAAATATAAGATTATTTTAATAGTTCAGAAATATAAACAAATAAAGTTGATTTGATTTTTTAAACTTTTTTTTTCTGTTTGATTACTTTATGCAGCATTTAAATATCGTTAATATTTTTTTTTAGATTCCTCTTTCATGTTGGATTCTGAATATCTTCGGACACTTCGGATAATAAAATAACTCTTTAAATAATCATATCATTTAATTTAAAATATTCTAATTTCCTAATATTTCTGTGGCCATTTGGGACAATTTGAGGTGGTCATAATTTGGGATGGTCTGAATTCGATGTCTGATTTTCATTAATTGATTACCCTTAAAAATTCCTGATGACATATTAAATTGTATGAAAACACGAAATCAGGCAATAATACCGCCTAACGACTGGTTTATGTTTAGCAGATATCCAAATTTATTGTTAAAATTACTAGAATAGTAATTCGAATAAACGATTGTTCTCGTAAAACGATTTCGCCTTACCTTAAAGAGTGGACGGGAAAGAATATAATCCAAGAAGATGGCTTTTTTTTTTTTCTTGTAAAAATGTTTGTTCGTAATTCTTCACCACCAAGCCTGAAAATATCGAAACAATGTGTGATTACAAATCGTGTATTGATCTAATAGGATCATTTTAAATTATATTAGCGAACTTGATAATATTTAATGGTGATACTTTTCTTTCCAATTAGCTACCAATTCACTATACCTTTTATTTTATTTTTATTTTTTTATGTATATTTCGCGAGAGTTATCCATTTTAAAATTTTTCGTTTAACTTCGCCTATTCCTAAATGATTAATTTTCAAATCTAATTTATGAAATTACGTCTAAGCCATAATATTAATTTTTAATTTTTAATAACCAAATCGATTAAAAGATGCCCGCATCTTGAAAATTTCTAAGCCGTGCTTTTTTAGCCCTTGATCAATTTAAGAAAATAGTGAAGGAATTAAATAATTTAACTAAGAACATTTGCTAATTTTTTTAATTAAAAATATATCGGTAATAAGACCATTAATCAATTTAATAATTTATGGAGGCTCAGGTTTTTTTTTTTTTTAAATTTGATCGATAAAAATCAGAAAAGCCACGTCAGAGTAAGAAGACGTGAATGATATGCAAAAATAATTTTTAAAAAAAGGGCCAAAGAATCGAGAGAGACGATAAAAAAAAAAATAATCTATATAAATGAGCTGTTTTTTTTCTTTTCATCCTTTTTTTTTAATGACGAAACAACAAAAATGAAATCTATTACTTTTGCTTTGATTATAGCGATCTTCATACATAACCTTTACTCCTTTACCACAAAGGGAATGGCGAACCCAAATCCGTTAATATTGAAGGACCAGGTCCAGTACCTTTGACTATTTGTTCTAAACAAACCGTTACTTGGACGACTACAGGATTTTCTGCTGATGGTTAATAAAAAAAAAATTCTGCTTTTCTAAAAATATTATAAATGATAATATATTCTTACTATTAGACATTCTCTTTTTTAGAACCAATAACTTTCGCTATTCTCGCAGAACATAATCCTACCCCACCCTTTATTGCTGATGTATGTTATGCAATTAATTTTCGTACAATTTTAATTTTTTTATTTTTTTTTTTAAAAAAAAAATAAAAAAATTTAATTCTTTATAACAAATTTAGTCCACACTTTTTGTTTCATTCACAATCGATGACAAATTTACTCTTGGAACTAAATATGGAAGTTTTATCGCTCTTAAGTCTGAACCAACGATTGCTTTTCGTGGTCCAATTTTCGAAGTAACTGATGGTGGTAATTCTATGGTGGTAAAACCGGAATCAACTACACCAAGTGCGAAAGCAGTTGTACATGAATTACCATAAAGAAAAAGCCCCTCCAAAGAAAATTTTTAATTAAATATTTTGATTTTTCGTAGTTATAAAGGTTAGGTTATTATTAAATTAGCAGAATCAAATGACTTTCTCTTTGATTGTAAAATAAAAAAATTATAAAACTTTCTAAACATTTGTGACAATCAAACGTAAAAGCCCTTAATAACTAAAGCCATGCCCTTATCCTATTTTGCATTGTCGGTGTCGGGATTTTTATAGTAACCTAAACTCGTGCAAAAATTTTTTTAAAAAATATTTTTTGAGATTTATCGTACTAAACGACATAATTATTATCGAATTTATAGCGTGACACGTCGAGTAAATTACGTGAAATTATTAACGTTTGCCTGAATACGTTTCGAGAATATAAAAAGTAATATCAGATAAATAAATGTATTTATTTGATATAAAAAACTTGATAAAAAAACGTTGTTCCTTGACTAAATATTCAACAAAGAAACTCTATCCGACTCACCTATAATCACGCGCGCGTTGAAATTCACAAATCCAATATTCTGTTCTGTTTACAATATTCAAATATATGAGTGATTTATATCGCTCAAGCATTTTCGAGGTCATTATGAAGATTCTCATTTTAATAATTTTAATACTGTTATCGGCATTGTATAATGTCGTATTTTCTGCTCATTCAACGGAGAGATTCACCTCGATCATTGTGTTTAAATTTGAAGCCTAATTCGCTAAAAATTTTGATTTGAAAAGTTTAAATTAATTGTAATACTTACATTTTTTTTTTTAAATAAAGATATAAACAATGTTTGACTTCTAAAAAAAAAGAGAAGAATCAATTAGCTATTTAAAGCTTTCATCTTGAAAAATGTATTTCTACATCAAATGACGCTATAATCACGCGAGGTTGATTATTTAAAAAATATTTTTACTACTAACTATACTCAACCAAACTTTAGGTAAATGAAATTGTTGGAACAGATTTAAATGAATTTAAATGTAATTCTTTGAGATGTTAGCATATGAGAGAGAATTGTAACTAGGAATAAGGATGAAATAGAAAGTGCCTTATTGGCTAATTAGTAATCAACCAAAAATTAAAAGAATACCCGAAGTTAAATAATTATAGTTGCGGGGCAAAACCTACACTAAAGGTTGGAACTGGGTTTATTTTTATATCCAGATTTCTTTAATTTTAAAAATCGGATCCGGATTTAAATCCGAATATCGAATCTTCATTTCAAAAACTGTGCAGATCAAATAAAGCTTAATATTATACACCCTGCGGATATCTGGGTTTAAAACAGAATGTCGAATCCGGTTCCAACCTCTAGATAATGATTTTTCAAATGAAAGTTTAATGGATGAAGTAGAAGAAAATAGAATACTGTCATGAGTTTAAATGAAGAAAATTTGGGAGATAAATGATATAACTGGACTTGATTTTTTTTTATCCTTTATAAATATATGATATTATAAAAGAAAGTGATCTTTGCTATATATACGATTTGCTCATCTCGTTAAACAAAAATAATAAATCCAAAAATTCAAAAAATTTTATTTTAGTATCAGAAGGTTTCGATGGGTTTTTCCATCCGTCAAAACTTTTGCCATCCGTTGAAACTTTCGCAATTTGCCTTTAATAAAAACATTTGGCAAAACGTTTTGATGGGGATCGATTTCAATGCCTGTCGAAACCTCCGGGTTTTGCCCAGGCAGACTTATAAATGATGCTATTAAATACTTCCAATCACGGAATAAATAGACTTTAAACTTAACAAAACGGACAGTTAAAAAGCAATTACAAAGCATTGGATGTCACAAGTGATTTAAATCACAATAATATTTGTTTGAGCATGACGAAGCAAATAAACTTATTATTATGATTTTTCATTCATTTTTTTTTTTTTTAATCTTTTTGTTCAGATTCCAATCTCTTTTATTTGCTATTTCTTAATTTTGGGTTTTAAAGCTTCGGTATTTTGCTCTTGGTTTTTCAGTTGACAATAATAAAATAATAAAGCTTAATTCATTGTTTATGCACGAAAGTATTACAATCAAGTCATATGAGTTAATTTAATCCGGTTTGATTTTATGATTATCGTCTCATAATTTAGGCCGAATTTCAATATTATAATGCCAGCCGGATTTTCTAAATTAGGACCTGAGATATTTGTATACACCCCCCCACCCTATTATATTAGCTGATATCTGTCATACCCCTAATTGTAATATATTTAAGTTTTTGGTCTATCTGCTCATTACTATAAAACTTATAAATTGAATTACGCTTCGGACGCTCCAACGGTTATAGTAGTTTCAATTAAGTTAAAACTCTCAAACTTCCACCAAAAATTAAAAGAATACCCGAAGTTAAATAATTATAGTTGCGGGGCAAAACCTACACTAAAGGTTGGAACTGGG